ACATCTTCGTTCAACGAAACATTCTTTTGATAATGTTACCTTCCAAATCATAGAAGTCAACACCGAGTGGGACACCACGGCGAGAAGGAGAAGAGAAAATTTTTGGATCCACCAACTCCACACTTTAGAACCTGATGGTCTTAACGAAAAAGATGAGAAAAGATACAGGAAAGATAAAGAATAATTTAGTACACAGCATCGGCCTTTTTTATCCTGTAATATTGGCCAATGGACGTTGCTAACTTCAACTACCAATTTTGTAAAAATCCTGAACTTCATCCAAATTATGTATTATTTTCAAGGCAGCTAAATTCAAGTGCAACATATACATTGAGCTGCAAAAGTTTCTTATCATCTACATCCGATTTCACCTGGATAGATGCACGCTTGATAAAGCTAGTTAGTCTAGCGAAATATTGCGTTTATTTTCATCATTTTGTAAATATTTTAAACATTCTTATATTTACATACTAAATAGTGTGTTAAAATTACATTGTTAGGCAATCTATAATTTTATTTGTGTAATTGAATTAATCTCTGTACTGATTAATCCACACTCCCATAGATTTGTATGTCATGTGCTGCTATTTATAGGCACTTATATATATATATATATATATATTTACAAATAGTTCTTCGTTAACTGATTAAAAAATGCTTGTGCTGGAAGAGTCTATTTAGTAGTTGTTTCTTCCAAAGAAGAGTTTTGTCTTTTTGGTAGTTGTTTTCAGCTGATCCTGGTGTAGAAGCTGAACTCCGAGTTCTCTTTTTACCACTGGGTGTTTCGTATTCACATAATCTGTCTATGCTCATAAAGCTTTTGATATGAGAAACAATTTTGTTTGCACCTTTTGGACTAATATGTACCCAGGATTGGTCATTTTGTCAAACATGGTTTTTACGGGGCTGCAACCCATGCCTGGGTGAGAGAGATCATCCCAAAGATCGACAAAAGACAGTCTTTTATCTTTGAGCATGCTTTTTCCATATATAAATTTACAAAATGAGATGTCAGATTACATTTTGTAAAATTTGGACCTTTGCCCCTTCTTGGAAGTATGTTGAATAAGCTTATATCCGCACTTGGAAATTGTGCTTTAACTTTATTTAAAGCATTTGTCATATTAATACATATAATCTCTTTATCTGTATTGTTTTTTGTGACGTCGTTTGTACCCAAACTAAAGATGACTTTTGATACATAATTTTGATCAACACTTTTGTCCAGTATGTCTAAAAGCTTTTCAATGTCTTCTGTTGTACTACCAGACACAGATGCATTACATATTCCTTGGTCAGATATCTTGAGACGGCAAAAGTTTGATGCACCTAAAATGACGTTAGTTGGGGATTCTGGTGAACCAATTTACCAGTTTTCGGGGACAGATAATATTTTATTTGAGTGTTTTTGAGTGGAGTCTTTGTCGTCGGAAACATTCAAATCCTCGATCTGATCTTGTTCCTTAGTTTCTCATCCCTCTCTAATTTCGTGAATGTAGTACCCGTATTCGTTCTCGTCTGTTATCTGATCATTTTGATCCTCTTTTACTATATTTTGTCTATTTATATTACAGTTTCGTTTGATATGACCTTCTTGACCACATTCGAAACATACGTCATCTGTATGCGGACAGTTTCGTATAATATGATCATGACTACTGCATCGAAAACAGTGTCGCTGTCGTTCTTGTCTTTGCGGTTTCATATGGCATCGGTATAAAGGGTGGTCCGTTCTGCTATAATATCGGCATTGGGTTCTGTTGTTATCAGCGAAAAGTCGGATTTCAAATCGTTCGAATTTGGTGACATTGGGGATTGTTATAACACAATTTATAAGCTGAATATACCGCGTACCGGTTTCAATGTTAGTACCTCTGATGGTCCCCCTTTTAAGTGAGCCCTGGACCACCTCACCGTACTGTCTCATAAAGGTACAGATAACAAGATCACCCAACTCGACAGGTGTATCCTTAATCGTAACATTTGTCACTTCTTTTTCAACATCTACAAATTTGTAATGATAGTTTTAAAGTTCGGTGCCTTTTATTAGTAATAACATTTTCGATGCCTGATCATCAACAGTTACTACACATTTTCTTTCAGTCAATTGTATAGCTTTAACTTTTTCTCTGTTTATATATTTTTCCAGCTCGTTTAGAATATCCGTGTGTGTGATCCCCTTGATATACTTTGAACTAAAGTGTACTGACGTGTATCTTTGTGTTTGTTGATTTTTGTGGTGAACAATGTCTAGTTCGCTCGCAATTTTGTAAACAAACGATTTGTGTTCACTTATAAATCAGTGTTGACAGTTTGTTTACTTCATTTTCACTTACTTTTGGACGGAAAGACCTCTAAAATCAATATTGGTTATTTATCCGACAAAAAGTATAGGAAGCACAGATTTAAAGATGATTTTTTTTTAACTTTTACCAGAGCTTGCAAAACACAACATGTCATATCAAGGGTAGATATATTTTCTCACTATTTTTAATATGTACCACCTTTGATAAGTATTTAGTTTGACGATAAATTTTCACTTCTGTTCTCGTACTATGAACAACAAAATTATTATATTTAAATTTACCTGTGTACGTTATTTTATTTAACTCCATTTTGTCCTAGGTTATAGTTGTCTTTTTTACATTGTTTTACATCCCCCCTTTTTTATTTGATATTGTATTTATATTGTGTCATAGATCAAATTTATTCGTTCAGTGTATAGATATAAGAAGATGTGGTATGAATGCCAATGAGACAACTCTCCATCCAAGTAAAAATTTATACAAAGTAAACCATTATAGGTCACAGTACGGTCTTCAACACGGAGCCTTGGCTCACACCGAACAGTAAGCTATAAGGGGCCCCAAAAAATTACTAGTGTAAAACCATTCAAACGGGAAAACCAACGGTCTAATCTATATAAAAAACGAGAAACGAGAAACACTTATGAACCACATCAACAAACGACAACTACTGAACATCAGATTCCTATGTAAGTTTACTTGTTTTTGTTAATATATCTTTTTCGTTGAGTTAAGCCATTTTAATTGATATTTTATAGTGTGTCTTTCTATGTTGTAATGTTACACTACTATTGCAGGTTAGGGTGAGGGTTGGCGCCTGTTAAAACGTTTAAACCCGCTGCATTTGTTTGCAACTGTCCTAAGTCAGGAACCTGTTGTTCAGTGTTTGTCGTTTGTTGATGTGGTTCTTAAGTGTTTCTCGTTTTTTGTATAGATTAGACCGTTAACGGTTTTCCTGTTTGAATTTTTTGACACTAGTCATTTTGGGGCCCTTTATAGCTTGCTGTTCGGTGTGAGCAAAAGCTCCGTGTTGAGGTGTAATACCACCAAATCATATTACGTCACATCCGGTTGCATACGAAAAAGGGTCGAAAAAAAATATTCCCTTAAATTTGACAGTTGTAGGAAATTAATCCTACATTTCATTGCAGTAAAAAAATTCTGAGTCATAAACATATATCTTGGGTGTTTTAAAGCACCTTTATTTTTTTATTTGATGTTTCTATAGAATATTTTGGAAACTTGAGGTTACATGGTTACTAAAGCTTGTACACAGGAAAAAAAGGGGTGAAAATTTGATTGGTTAACTTCCAGTGATGGTTATTTTCTTATATGCAATAAATGTTATGTGAAATTTTGTCTGTAGTACTGGACAGGATAAAACTTTACTCATGCCAAGTATTTCTTTATTGGAAACAAATATAAATTCTGCACAATTTTTTTAAAAACGTGCAAATTTAAGAAAGACTAATAGGGGAAAAGCAATGGTGGTATTACACCTAATATGGGAAGCTGCACATGCACCTTTGAACTTGTGTGTACGCTCATTTGTTAAAATTTCATGCTATTTAAGTGAAATATTACAAAAAAGAATTATTCTGAGTGGATTGAGTCTCAAAACACATTTTATGAGAAAATTGCCTTGAAATAGGACTATACCATGAATATTAATAGACAGAGCAAGCCATACTTAGTGTTTTGGGGAGCTTTTTCTGACTTTTTCTCCTTATTTCTTATATTTTGCTATAACAGAAAACTTTTTCCTAAGTAATACTTTAATAAATATATATTCATAAGTAAATGAAATTATTTTTGAAGCAGTAACAAGTTATTCACTAAAAGGGAAGCTTTTTATGTCCCTCTCTGGAACGCAGCGTAAATTTAAGTTTTACGTAAGGACTCATTGAAACCTACATTGAGTCAGTAAACTTTTATATGGATAGTTCATTCAGCTTGAGAACTTCAATTAATCATTTATTTTCACATTTCTTTCTTGAATGAGTGAAAGTTACCCCATTTTTTTTTTTTTTTTATTTATTGGCTTCAAAAGTTGAAATTTTGAGGAAATGAGAGGTACAAATAGACCAAAAGGGACCTTATAATGAAGACAAAGAGGTCCATTAGTGGTATTTATCATCCTAGACTAATCTTTTGTATCAAATTCAACTGTTTGTAGGCAGATGAGATAAATATTTGATCATTTATTGGTCCACACCATATTCTATCATGATGTGGCTTGATTTGGATTTTTCGAAGAAATTTTGCTCGATTCTCACCTCAAAACGCCTGATTGCATTTTGAATGGTATGCAAAATTTCTACAATACATTCTTTATCAGTGCAATAAAAAATTCTAATGAGGGTGAATATCAACAAAAACAAGGTATAACAGGCATTGAACAACATTTATTTTCTTCTGCCAGGACTAAAAGGTGTCTTTACACCCTTTCTCCTTTTATCATTGTCCTTACATTTCTGTCAACTTATATAGTTAAGGTTACTATTTGGTATGTCCTCTTTTAGAGATATTAGCTCTACCACACCACCCGAAAAAAGGACCAACAAACAAAAGCCAAATTCATCTTAGTTCGACTTTTTGGAATTTTAAACCTTAGTTCCTTAGTTTCTTCATATTTTATGATTTTAGTGGACAATGTATTACACATTGTATTATTGTGTTCGACATCATTTGTAGATTGTAGCAAACAAGCGGAATGAGATAGACGTTCATAAAATGGACTATTTTGCTAGAGATTGTCATGGACTCGGAATGAAAAGTAACTTTGTCCATCTGCGGTTCATCAGTCAATGTAAAGTCATGTTCTCAAGTGATACCCCTGATGAAACTACTATTGCTGTTTGAGACAAAGTACATTTAAATTTCTTTTTATACACGTTAGGTTACAATCCAAAAAGATCTCGACATTATCATTTTCTAGGACCCCAGCGTCACTGAAGAGACATTTAATGTCGAAATACGCATCTGGTGCAGTACATTTGGTACCATTAATGTTATTCTATACAAGAACTGGTATATATGATTTATCTTCATATTTATATTAAATTTTTCTTTCAAATACTCAAAATCTTCACCTCTTTTCTACCAATTTTTCTACGTTGCCTTAGATTTCAAAACTACTACCATTTAAAAAGTAAAATAACAAAAATACTGAACTCCGAGGAAAATTCTAAACGGAAAGACCCTAAGCAAATGGCAAAATCAAAAGCTCCAACACATCAAACGAATGGATAACAACTGTCATATTCCTGACTTGGTAAAGGCATTTTCTTATGTAGAAAATGGTGGATTAAACCTGGTTTTATAGCTAGCTAAACCTCTCACTTGTATGACAGTCGCATAAAATTCCACTATATTGACAACGATGTGATCAAAACAAAAAGACATAATAGGTAAAAATGTCAAAAATAGGGGTACAGCAGTCAACATTGTTTTATAATCTTAATCACTACAAAAACAAGCAAATATGTCAACAAAGACAAACACAAAGGCATATAGACAAAGCACATTAGCAAAAACGAAAGATAAATGTCTGTAAAGATAACGGAAAAATACAGTACAAAAATAGAGAAGATACTTATATGTCTCATGAGTTTATTTTCTATTGTAATTTAGGTCTAGCCACATGTTTATTGCCAGGTCCTAGTCAAGAACCTCGTCATTGATTTTTTTTATTTTATTGTTTTGTTCATTTACTTATAAATATATATTACATCGTGTGATATCTTTTTTGGAGAGGGGGGTGGGGTGGGGGGGGGGGGGGGGGCACTTTTATCGTCACTCCAGACAAATTAAAGCACTACATATAATATAGATAAAACCGTAATATATTCTTGAAGACAGCATTACTTGTAGATTAATATATAGTGTGATTTTCCTGTTTGGTTTATATCTCATTTGCTTATACAGAACTATTCCCTTAGTTCCAGTTGTATTCTTAACAAAATACAATGTAACAATACCTATTAAATGCTTGGTTGATACCTTCTACCTCACTTTAGGAAGAGTATAATCTGTATGAGCTGTTTCACACCCGAATTGGACTTTTCAGAAGAGCTTACTACCATAAAGTAACTAAGGCAGTAGAGATTATGTAAGTGAGAAAATCATTTACTAAGACATGTACTCCCTTTTCCATGTTTTCCATATGAATGCTCCAAAATAAACAGTTGCACCCACTGAATAATGTTTTAAATATATCTGTATTATAAGTGCTCTTCAGATTGTCGTGAGAAATTCTGTCCTCTTTAATTAACTGCAAGAAATGCTAGTCGATTTCTTTATATATTTTGACAAATTTCATCAAATGTGTCAGTCAGACACAACCATTTCGAGTTATACTTTAACATTACTATTTACACAATCGAATGTGTGTGTTACTATACATATGCATGCAGAGGGGTCAACATTTTCTAGTTTTATTTTGTGTACAATGTATTGCACGTATTATGTACTGAAAAAAGATTGTACATTTCAAGGATGCATTGAGCCATTTAAATTCACCGAAGATAAAACAATGTGTATTACTTTTATTAATCTCAAGCTTTCGGAAAATGTGAATATTACCTACGCCTTACTGATTAAGTTTGCCCGAAAATTGTCATATTTTTGTAAAATTAGGCAATTATTAAGAACATGCTGGTTAATCTATAAAGCACAAGCGTCACTCAAAAGAATACTTGCCTGTTAAAAATAGATAAACACAAAATATACTTACTGTTGAAATATCGCAGTTGTGGACGGTTAGACTCAATATTATTTCCAGGCATGTTCATGTCTAAAATTCATAAGTTTGCATAGGTTATATGGTTTTACTGAATGGAAAGGGATTATTTTAAACTTAAACTGCAATGCTTTATCGAAGTAAATATATTCAGCAGTAGACTATAAAATGTGTTTGGTTTGAGGGTCAACTTGGATCCAAATCGTACATTACCATACGCGTGCTATGCGATATGGGTTTTTCTCATTATTGAAGGCCTCTAGTTGTTAACTTCTACGTCATTTGGTCTCTGGTAGAGAGTTGCATCATTGGAAATCATACCACATCTTCTTATTTTATATTATCCTTTAAACAAGCATATTTTAAACTTTATAAACAACTTGCATTGACATCCTTAAGCAAAACATTTTCTGTAAATACGACTAATTAGTAAAGAAATAATTTTCTTTTAAACATTTTGGTGAGCTGATATTTTATTTTGCTTATGAATTATGTTGATACATGCAATTTTTCAATGGCCAAGCAAAATGCATGAAGTTTTGCTTACCTATCGAATTATCGACGGGTTTGTACTTGAGCATGAGCAATAAGACTGGTGCCACATTTTCAGCAGAATTTCCGGAGCACCATAGATCACTCCTTGTTTTAGGGGGGTTCGTATTGCTCAGTATTTAGTTGTTCTATATTGTCTTTTGTTCTTTTTCTTTCTTTTTTTTCATGGCTTTGTCAGTTTATTTTCGCTTTATGTTTGAATGTCTATATGGTATCATTTGCCCCTCTCTTATCATCAAAATATATATTGACAAATAATAGTAAACCAATCATCTCACCGGTACTTGAAACTGAACAACCAGATTCCAACAAAGCAATGTTGATGAACTTGGGTGATCCGAATGAATACGCAATTCCTATTATATGTATGACCAGTAGAAGTAGAACCTGGTGGTGAGTAGTGTCATCGGAGAAAGAAGGACATCTGTGACACAGGTATATACACAGTGATGACTGCTGTACCCATATTTTGACAATGTTACCTATTATGTCTGTTTCGGTGAATTTAAATGGCTCAATGCATCCTTGAAATGTACAATCTTTTTTCAGTACATAATACGTGCAATACATTGTACACAAAATAAAACTAGAAAAAGTTGACCCCTCTGCATGCATATGTTTAGTAACACACACATTCGATTGTGTAAACAGTAATGTTAAAGTATAACTCGAAATGGTTGTGTCTGACTGACACATTTGATGAAATTTGTCAAAATATATAAAGAAATCGACTAGCATTTCTTGCAGTTAATTAAAGAGGACAGAATTTCTCACGACAATCTGAAGAGCACTTATAATACAGATATATTTAAAACATTATTCAGTGGGTGCAATTGTTTATTTTGGAGCATTCATATGGAAAACATGGAAAAGGGAGTACATGTCTTAGTAAATGATTTTCTCACTTACATAATCTCTACTGCCTTAGTTACTTTATGGTAGTAAGCTCTTCTGAAAAGTCCAATTCGGGTGTGAAACAGCTCATACAGATTATACTCTTCCTAAAGTGAGGTAGAAGGTATCAACCAAGCATTTAATAGGTATTGTTACATTGTGTTTTGTTAAGAATACAACTGGAACTAACAGAATAGTTCTGTATAAGCAAATGAGATATAAACCAAACAGGAAAATCACACTATATATTAATCTACAAGTAATGTTGTCTTCAAGAATATAATACGGTTTTATCTATATTATATGTAGTTCTTTAATTTGTCTGGAGTGACGATAAAAGTGCCCCCCCACCCCCCCCCCCCCCCCCCCCCCCCCACCCCACCCCCATCTCCAAAAAAGATATCACACGATGTAATATATATTTATAAGTAAATGAACAAAACAATAAAATAAAAAAAATCAATGATGAGGTTCTTGACTAGGACCTGGCAATAAACATGTGGCTAGACCTAAATTAAAATAGAAAATAAACTCATGAGACATATAAGTATCTTCTCTATTTTTGTACTGTATTTTTCCGTTATCTTTACAGACATTTATCTTTCGTTTTTGCTAATGTGCTTTGTCTATATGCCTTTGTGTTTGTCTTTGTTGACATATTTGCTTGTTTTTGTAGTGATTAAGATTATAACACAATGTTGACTGCTGTACCCCTATTTTTGACATTTTTACCTATTATGTCTTTTTGTTTTGTTCACATCGTTGTAAATATAATGGAATTTTATGCGACTGTCATACAAGTGAGAGGTTTAGCTAGCTATAAAACCAGGTTCAATCCACCATTTTCTACATTGGAAAATGCCTGTACCAAGTCAGGAATATGACAGTTGTTGTCCATTCGTTTGATGTGTTTGATCATTTGATTTTGCTATTTGATTAGGGACTTTCCGTTTTGAATTATCCTCGGAGTTCAGTATTTTTGTGATTTTACTTTTTTCTTAAGGGACTAACCAAAGGATGGTATCCGTTTAAAGTGCTTTTTATAACTATACATGAAAATTCAATTATTGAAAGGCTACAAAAGTGACAATTTTATGGTCAACGCTTCTGCAACGACGGTTGTTAAAGCGTCTTCTTATTGGGATCATGGGTACTGATCTTAGTTATCATTATCTACAGTGAATAAAATCATTGCAATGGGGGATTGACAAATTCATTGTTTAATTGATACTTTAACATTTTCAACAATTTTAAATATTGTGGCAAACTGGCACATAACATCTAAACCTGAACACCTATGGACAGACAAGGAAACATATCATATTTAATTTATTACAATTTAAACATTATCATCTATGGAAAAAAAATAGTGAGGACTATTCTTCAAATATATATTATCAGTGGAAAGTTAGAACACAGTAAGATTGTTGAACATTTCATTAAATGTATGCTTTTTCTATATTGAAAAAAGGTATTATATTTCATTTTTATCATGCATATAATTTTATGAAACATTGATTTCATTTTTATTGCCTACTAAATGCAATATCTATAGATATTTCTAAATTTGAATGACAGTTTACATGATTTCAGGTTCACTGACGTTTTAGTAGAAGCCAATGATCACCTGTTGTTTAAGAATAAAAGCGGGTAAGAAAATTGAAAAGAAAAAATTATGATGATATTAAAAGAAAATGACACTCGTAGCATCGAAAATCCATTAGACACAAAACATCCAGAATTGAAAGTTTTGTATGGATAATAATGAAATAAGTAGCGGAAATCAACTTTTAAAAATATATGGGGATGGATAATCAAACGAACAAGTCTTGAATAGTACACACTTACTATGATGATAAACAATACATAGCCTGTAACATTATTGGTATCTAAAATTTTTGTCGATAAACAAAAACTTAATATACTCAAAACCAAATATTGTGAAAATGCTCGTGACAAGTCAGGAATATGGCAGTTGTTTTTACTTGTTCCGTTGATTGATAGCTTTTGATTTTGTTAGTTTTAATGGACTTCCTTATTTTTTATTTTGCCTTGGAGTTCAGCATTTGTGATATCCTTTTTTACGCTATAGAATTCGCTTTATAATAACATAATTGACACTGATTTATGTAATTTTTTTTTTCTTTTTTTTTTTAACCTTAAACAATTAACTGCATCCTTTTAAATCACTGACACAGTTGCTTAACGTGTTGTGCCTGATTAATTAACAAATAACCTTGTTTACCAAAGAAAAATCGTTAAGATGAGTGAGGCCTGGGAATATCCGGAGGTATATGAAAAGCTTACTGATAGTTTTTTTTGATGAAATATTAACGAAAGAGGATACAAAACTTGAAAAAGCAAAAGAGTTGATCAACAACGTTTACAAACGCAAACTGTACAGACTTGTCGATGAAACATCACCAGTGAATGTAAGTATCATTTTTTTATTATTTCTTATTAAACATGAATGAAATATCTGAACAGAACGTATTGTGTAGCAAGATCATTTTCTGAGAAAATAAGATTTTACATTTATGTCGTCAAATTATTTTTAGATTTTCATAAAATCAAATGACTGTGTGCTACTTATTTCATTGGTATATTAACCTGTGCAACAGATATGAAGATGAAACAACATTTCGAATGCAAGAAATGAAAATAAACACACATAAATACCAAATCTTTAGCAACAAATAAAACTATGAATATCTACAAAAAGGGTTAAACAGAATTTTGTTTTATATAGGTCTCATGTTAACCATATTATTACTACCGTCATATTTTAGCAAAAACAAAGTGTAACCTATATTGTCGATATTCCGAAAAAGTCATCGTCTTGCAATTTTTAAATGGCACAATATAAAACAATTGCAAAACAATATTCTTAATGGTATTTATTATTGTTCAAATGTAAGAAAAAACG